CCAAGCAACGTGATGTTCCATCCTGGTGGATCTCACTTTGTGCATCTCGCGGGCGACTCCAGCAAGACACGAGCCAACAATTACCCCGCACGCCTTTAGCGCTGTTACAACCGCTGTGCCAAGTCACACCCAGGTTTCGCCGCGGATTTTTGGGGAATCACATGAAAGGAAAGCATCTCCTCCGTGCCGCTCAGTGGCCGATCCCCCACCCCCCCCCCACACCTTCTCCACCCACCCCTCTCCATTCGTCGCGCATGCGCAGCACGGCAAAAGACAGCCGTCAGCCCCCACCCCCGGGCCTCTCATCTCCGCCTGTCACTCAAGCCGTGGTGGGTTAAACAGCGTGAACGCGAAGATCGAGGAGACTCGTAAGCGCGTGCCGTGGATGAATAGGGTTGAGAAGCACCGTGGGATATAGCGCTGTATCGACATACCAAGAACTAGCGCCGTCTATTGGTAGAAGTAATTTTTTGTTGTTGTAAGCTTACGAATTCTTAAGTCGGGGATTTTGACTTGGCATCAGGCGTAAACGAGAATCGCCGTTGTTGATGTGTCCTGAGAACCACAGCAAAAACTTGAGTGGATCCCACGCACGTATCGCGATCCACGGCTTGCCCACCGCTGGCAAGAGGTTCCGTGTCATTATTGGGAAAGTTTGCTGATGTCGGGAGTGTGGTTTTAAGTGGACGTGGTGGTTAACGATGGATGTGATGTTGGACAATGTACCGCACGTGATGATACAGTGAGAGCAATAGCGTGGGGGTGTGATGAACTGGTGAGCGTGATGGCGTTTAAGATAGCGATGGTACAGGCAGTGGGATGTTTTAGTGGGAATGGTGGTGATAGTGATGGGGGGAGAATGATGGTAGAGAAAGTACGATCGTGTTTAGATCGTGATGGTATAGTGGGTGTGATGGTCGGGATAGTGTAATGATGTAATGACCGTGGTGAGTGTGATGATGAGGATACTGAGATGATTTAATGACCGTGGTGAGTGTGATGATGAGGATACTGAGATGATTTAATGACGGTGGTGAGTGTGATGGTGACGATAGTCTGATGATGTAATGACCGTGGTGAGTGTGATGATGAGGATACTGTGATGATTTAATGACGGTGGTGAGTGTGATGGTGAGGATAGTGTGATGATCTAATGACCGTGGTAAGTGTGATGGTGGTGACAGTATGGGGAGCGGTAGTGTAGTTGCTTGCGCGCTGCGCTACGAACCTGGAGACCCGAGTATGATTCCCGCGCACGGCCAACACCGGTGACGATTATCTAAACCCGTCCTGGGCCTCCCCGAGGTCGACTCAGCCTCAGGTGTGTTGTGAACATCGCCACTGGGGAGACAAAGGCGGCCAGGCATTGTGCTGGCCACCCACCCCCTCATGTACCTTGCCGGCCTTTACAGGTGTTCGTTAACAGCACCTGCCCCAATAGTCTGTTAAGGCTATACAGGGGATCCTTGTCTTTGGTGTTGGTGATAGTGTGATGGTATCGTGGTCGTGGTGAGTCTGATGGTGTCGTGAAAGACAGAGGAGCGACTGTAACAGAATAAACGAATTCCCCACAGCATCGCTACCGCTCTCATGCCACATTTCAGTTTAAACTAACTAGTAAACTATTTTATTTTTTATTTTTACCAGGTGAAGTCCCGCTGAGCTATAATATCTCTTTTTCAAAAGCGACCTGGCTCTCACAAATGATAACTCAACGAAGTCGTTCATCGTGTGGATATTTCTCGCAGCCAAACACTCTAAACGCGTGACGTTGATCTAAAATGTGGAAGGAAAAACCGCAGGACCCGGAGAAAAATCCACGCGACCACGGGGAGAACATGCAGACTCCAGATAAACAGGCAGGCGACAGGGTCGGAATCGAACCTACGACTTCCTGTATACCAGGCAAGGGAGTTGACATTTCGCCTGTATACCAGGCAAGGGAGTTGACATTTCGCCTGTATACCAGGCAAGGGAGTTGACATTTCGCCACCGTGGCAGTTGTGTTGGGGGGGGGGGGGTGTGAGAAATTGGGGGTGGGGGGGGGAGCGGGGGTCTAGAGCTATATCCAAGGGACATAACCCCACACCCCTCCCCCAGCCCCCCCGACGCGCTGTGTAACCTGAATGCACACAGCACGCTCGCATTAATGCCACTCTCACCAAACGAACCCAAAACACAACTCGGCGACATTGCGTGAATCCCATCGCTTACCCGGGCCGCGCACGGAATGAGAACGACGAAATGAGGAGAGAGTGAGAGAAAGAGAGAGAGAGATGGGGGTGGAAGAGAGAGAGAGAGAGGAGAGAAGGAGACACGGGGGACAGCGAGAGAGAGAGAGAGTGCGGCAAAGATGAGAGCGAGAGAGGAGGCGACAGAGGAAAGGCAGAGAAGAAAGAGGAGACTGGGAGCGGGGGGGGGGGGGGGTGGGGAGATGGGGTGGTGGTTGGGGGGCAAGAAAATCGTTGAAGGAGCAGAGCGCCCCAGGTCGTGGATGTCACGACATGAGCGGGATCGCGCCACGTCCGAGTGAACACGCGAGGGTGACGGTGCGCCTGACGGCTCCTCGGGCTTGAGTCGAGGCCGCATGGCTGCTCACGGCGTTCTCGCGCTACGCGTCACCACGGGCTGCGGCGATGATGGTGATGATGATGGGGGCGACGTGGATGCGCCGTTGTGCCGATCGATTACTGGTTGATTCCCAAGGCTTGCGATGCACTTGGACATGTGTTGTTTCACGGCCGTCTGGTCAATCTCCCCTACCCCTTCCTCTCCCCAACCCACCCCCCCCCCATGATGCAATCAAACCACACCGCATTGACACATCTGCGTGCAGAGTGAATGAAGCATAGAGCATAATTTCAGCTCCGGTGCTGAATTCCGTAAAATATTTCCCACCCACCCACCTCCCCCTGCTGTTGAGGGTAGAGGTCCGGTTGGTTGGGTAGGGGGAGGGAGGGTGGGGCGTTGTTGGGGTGGTGGTGGCTCGTAAACTATTCCACGGAAAATTGAGTCGTCACACGCTCATCATTGACCCGATGTGATTTTGTACGTGGCCGGGCTCTTATATAAATCCTCCGCTTGATGTTGACCACCTCCCCGAGCGGCGCGGGGTAACCATGTGCGGGTTCATTTGACAGTGCGCCAGCATCCCTGGTCAGTGATGGGCTTGGCGAATGTGGTAAGCGAGCATACATCGTGGGATCATAGAAGTGAAGTAGAGCAAAACTTGGGTTCTGCCGCACCGCCTTCACCGCGTAGTTTTGGCTACAATTCCAGGTCCGAGAATGTAATTTTTTTTTAAATCAGTTTGAATGCCACGCGAATGAGAATTTCTTCTCTTGTCATTCGGGCGAGTGGGATAGATGCAGCGTGACGTTTTGAGAAGGTCACTTGAAGAGGATGTTGGCAGTAGTTCTGTAATGCCCACTTCGGCGGGTCGTTTTTTTTTAGCACGGGGTGATGAATTGCTTCTGCGAGACTTTCACACTGCGACACGAATAGCGCAATCAGAATGATGTTTGGTAAAATAAAAATTAAGTATGTGAAGTAAAAAGGCACAGCAGCGCTATAGTGACCTCGCAAAAAACGGGACGGAACTCCTGGTCCTACTGCTGCCATTGTGACTGCTGCAGTCACAATGGCAGCAGTAGGACCAGTTGCAGGGGCAGTGAGTGAGTACGTGTGTTGCACGGTTGTGCAGTTCGATTCCCGCTCGCTGGTAGGGAGCGTTCATCGCCGCTGCATTACGAACCCGGCGACCCGAGTTCGATTCCCGCTCACGGCCGTCTCCAGTGACGATCATCTGAACCGGTCCTGGGCCTCCCCTACCTCGACTCAGCCTCAAATGAGTACCTGGTGTGATGTGTAAACATAGCCACTGGGAAGACAAAGGCGGTCGGGCGTGGTGCTGACCACCCACTCCCCTCGTGTACCGTCCCGGCCTTCATAGGTACTCGCTAACAGCACTTGTCCCTACAATACGTTAAGGCTATACGGGGGATCTTTGTCTGCGTCGTTACAGTTCGATTCGCGCTCAATGGAAACACCGGTGACGAATACCTGAATGGATTATGGGCCCACACCTAGGGCGACTCAGCTTCAAATTACGGGTACCTGGTGGTGGTGTGTAAAAAAAAACCACGAGCACTGGGGAGACAAAGGTGGCCGGTTTGGCGTGGTGCTGACAGCAACAAATCCCTTAGGTGTGACGTTCCGGCCTTCTTCATAGGCGCTCGCCAACAAGGACTTGCCCCAACAGTCTATTCGAGGCTAAGATATTCTCCCTTCCTATACTCGGAAGCCACTGGAGCTACCGCACTTTTAGATCTAATATTGAAAAAAACTCATTCATTGTTGCGTTCGGTTTGTTGTCCTTCCCCCGCATCTCCGATTAGTGCGCTTGGCTACGTTCGGTGCGAAAGAAGTTCAACACGCACACAAGGATGGACGGGGAAGCTTTCTCTTTTCATCCTTTGCAGGAGCCAGGGGGCAGTAAGGCAGTTGGGAGCAGCAGCGGGGGCAAGAGCAGCAACAGAGACAGTCACAGGGATAGCAGCAGCAGGGACAGTCAGAGGGGCAGCGGCAGGGGCATCAGTAGGGGCAGTCACATGGACAGCAGCAGCAGGGGCAGTTACAGGGGGCAGCAGCAGGGACAGCAGCAGGGGCAGTCAAGAAGTGGCAGCAGAAGGGGCAGTCAAGATGGGGCATCAGCAGGGACAGCAGCGGCAGGGGCAGTCAGAGGGGGCAGCAGCAGAGGCAGCAGCATCAGCAAGGGCAGCCACAGGGACAACCGCAGTAGAGGCAGTCAGAGGGGGAGGGGGGGCAGCAGCAGTCACGGGGACAGCAGCGGCAGGGGCAGTCAGAGGGGGTAGCAGCAGGGGCGGCGGTAGCAGCAGGGGCAGCCAATGGGATCTGCTCAGCAGGGGCAGCAGCGGCAAGGACGAGTGAGTGGTTGACCGGCCGGGCGAGCCGGCACGCGGAGGCGTGGCATGAGGACGTCTGTGAGAACGTTGGGCTTTTATTGAATCCTTTTTTTTTTGTATCTGTGCATTTGTACATGTACAGTATAAACATACGTCTGGCGTTAGCTGCCAAAACACACAGCAATTGTAACCAATGACAACTACCCCAAGCTCCGGCTTTTTCGCCGCCGCACGCGATTTTTTGTATTATTTTACGGGGGGATGGGATATGGGGGTGGGGTGTTTCTGGAACCACAGTTTTACAATGTAAAAAAAAAAAAACACCCCAAATAAGTGTTTAATGCAATTGCATCGATAAAATTAAATGACACACTTCGGGTAGAGAGAGGGAGAGAACCACACCAAACACTGAACGATAATGTACAGCCTACAGCCTTCTAAGAATTGTCTAATCGCTACGGGTTGTTGTTGTTGCTGCGCGTGTGTTTGTGTGGAAGCACAATCGTTAATTTATTCAATGTGAGAGGCGCGGGGGATGGAGAGGGGGGAGGGCAATCAACATCTTATTATTTTCCTTCTTTATATTTCCATTGCTTCATACTAGTTATGGGGGTTGATTCCACAACGACCACCACAACCACAACCACCAACACCACGACGACTCACGTGGTGGTGGTTCACTCACGGATGAAACAGGTGGGGGGGGGGGGGTGTTGTGGTGGTGGTGGTGGTGGGGGACGGGAGACAGGCCCCACCCCCCGTCCCCGACTCCAGGTAAAGAAGGTGTGTGGTGAATGTCCTAGAGTCATCATCATTACTCTACACGTTAGAAGACACGCGCGCTAATCTCGGCTCGTGGACCGCGCCTCGAACCTCGGCAGTGGCGGTGGGGGGGGAGACGAACCCATACTGTACAGAAGACTATCGTCACGTCTAAATAGAATACTGTATGATACAATAGATTAATTTATGTCATTTCATTTCGTTTAACTTTTTTACAAAAATAATAAAAACGCATTGAGGTATAAAAGAAATAAAGGAAGGAATCAAAGGACGGACGGACGGACGCAACGAGAGTTAAGGGGAAGAACTGGAACTGAACTTGTTTGTTTCTTCTTCCGAAGGAAAATGTCTCGAGAGTCAACTTGGGTGGCGTCGTGTCGTGCCGTGTCGTGTTGGCGCGCCGTGTCGTGCCGTGCCCTGTTGGCGCATCGTGCCGTGTTGGCGCGTCGTGCCGTGTCGTGTTGGCGCGTCGTGTCGTGCCGTGTCGTGTCGTGCCGTGCCGTGTTGGCGCGTGGTGCCATCCCGTCCCGTGTCGTGCCGTGTTGGCGCGTGGTGCAATCCCGTGCCGTGTCGTGCCGTGCCGTGTTGGCGCGTGGTGCAATCCCGTGCCGTGTCGTGCCGTGTTGGCGCGTGGTGCCATCTCGTGCCGTGTCGTGCCGTGCCGTGCCGTGTTGGCGCGTGGTGCCATCTCGTGCCGTGTCGTGCCGTGCCGGTGCGCGAGTAAAGCAGAGGGCAGATGGGGGTAGGGGGGGAGGGGTCATCGTCACGTCTTCTCTCTCGGGTCTCACAACGAGTCGCGGTGGCCCGCGCGTGTGGTCACGGGTAGAGAGAGACAGAGAGACAGACACGCGCACACACACACACACAAAATGCCCCACATTTTTTTTTGTTGCTACATAGATTAGCAGTGGATAAGGCTGGACACATTCTCTCGCGATGCTCGGGTTTGTTTTGTGTGTTTTTTTTTCCTCTCGTGAGTATAGTTTTTATTTTTTCACGGGGCGATGTGGCCGCTGACAAGAAACCTTCTGGTAGAGGAGTTTCTCGCGTGAATCAGCTCCGACGCAGAGTTCTGTGGAAGACGAGGAGGGGGGGGGGGGGGCGGGGGGAGAAAGGGGGCGGGGGGAGAGGGGGCGGGGGGGGTAGAGAGAAGCGGGTCCCGAAGCAGGTTTCGTGTGCATGGCTTCAACTTGTGCGCCTAGCCATTGGAGCTCTTTTCGAGAGGAAGGTTACATGTTTTCAGTAGGGGGTGAAGCGGCTGTATCCACCCCTGTACAGACTGGCCTGAAACACACGCGCACAGGCAGACACACGAACACGTGCGCGCGCACACACAGGCGGAACACTGAGAGACGCGCACACACACACACGCGCACACACACACGCGCGTGTACAGGCAGAAACCAGACGTCCACGCGAACACACACGCACGCACGCCCAACAGACACAGGTCCACACGCGTACACACATGCGCACGCAGAGACACAGACACACACGCCCACACACAGACACACACACGTGAGGAAGAACACTTGGCAACACCAAACAACGGACTTATATCATTATATTCCCCCCCCCCCCCCCCTTTCTTTAACACTCAAATGGCACTCGCGTTAAAATTCCCGAGCCCTAATTAAGCCGCGCCGTGGCCCAGAGGACGCTCTTGGCCCAGCTCAAGGACTCCCGGAGAGGCGCTGGTCAGCTCGGGGCTGTGTCGGTGTTTCTGGGAGGCTCAACAAGGACACTTTAATCAGCTGGCAGCCCCACCCCAGCCACCCCACTCCACCTCACCCACCTACTCCACCCTACCTCAACACTTGAGGCACAGCAGCCCCATCAGGGTCATCCCCACACACACACTCGCACACAAGACAAATATGCCCCGTATAGCCTGAAAAGACTGTTGGGGCAAGTGCCGTTAGCGAGCACCTATAAAAAAGGTTGATACGGCGCACGAGGAGGTGGGTGGCCAACATCACGCCCGGCCGCCTTTGCCTCCCAAGTGGCGATGTTTACTCACCTCGCTAGGTACTCATTTGAGGTTGAGTCGACTTAGGGGGAGGCCCACGACCGTTTCAGATAATGGTCACCGGCGTTGGCCGTGAGCGGGAATCGAACTCGGGCCGCCGGGTTCGTAGCGCAGCGCGCTAACCGCTACATCACCGCACCCCACCCACACCCGCACCGCACCCCACCCCACCCCACCCACATCCACACCCCATCCACACCCCATCCACACCCCATCCACACCCCATCCACACCCCATCCACACCCCATCCACACCCCATCCACACCCCATCCACACCCCATCCACACCCCATCCACACCCCATCCACACCCCATCCACACCCCATCCACACCCCATCCACACCCCATCCACACCCCATCCACACCCCATCCACACCCCATCCACACCCCATCCACACCCCATCCACACCCCATCCACACCCCATCCACACCCCATCCACACCCCATCCACACCCCATCCACACCCCATCCACACCCCATCCACACCCATCCACACCCCATCCACACCCCATCCACACCCCATCCACACCCCATCCACACCCCATCCACACCCCATCCACACCCCATCCACACCCCATCCACACCCCATCCACACCCCACCCACCTCATCCCACCCCCAGCTGAACCATCTATACTTGTTCAGCCCCGCCAAGTTTAACATAGCCACGCCCACTCCACCACTAGCCCGCAGAGCACACATCTTACTGCTCATACACAGTCAACGTGTCAACGTTTGGGCGAACGTTAACACGTGGTTTGAACCGTAGGAACAACGATGGCCGAACGTTGATCCAACGTTCCATGCTGGTTAGACCCCCCCTGCCCCACTCATCTGCTAATCCCGCACGATATTCAAGTAGTTCAGAACCAATCAGCGTGGGTGAAGTATGGCCACACAATCCCCTCTCCACCCTCTTCACGACCCACACGGCAAGGCCTTCAACCAGCAGTGCATTAACAAAACAAATAACGTGCAGAATTAATTAGTGTGTTATGATGATGATATTCTTAATTAATTATTGACTAATTGAATGCACATTGGTGTACAAGAACATTTAACAAGACTCTAGGTTCCATAAAGAAGGGCCATTGCCCGAAACGTCGCCAACTATATATTTCCTTTTAAGGCCGCGATGTTATTGACGACTGCGTTGAGTTTTCTTGTTAACTGGAAGCACATAACATTACATCAATAGAGCGGCTACATTACATAGCCGCTGTATTCGACAGCGGGGGACTCTTTTATTTGATTGATGCTTAGATGCAACGCAGTGGGCCATGGACAATCGTAAGCAATTACCGTATTCTCCGGATAATAAGAGGCAGCTCTTCCCCCCCCCCCCCCCCCCCTGCACAGTTTCTTTTATTAAACAGCAAAAGTCATCCGATGCATGGGCGTCTGCTGATCCTCCAGGGCGCTGAGTGCACGCTACCAGATGTGGACATCTTCATCGACACGTAGGGGACCTTCCCCAAAGATTCGGGTGCGTCTCATTTTTGCTGAGCGTCTCGCAGTCGGGTGGGGGTGGGGGGGGGGGGTACTACGGTAATAGATGATCCAGGGGTGATGTTGCCTCTTCGTGGGATCGCGCGTCCGTGGCCTTGCGTTGGGTGGATGGGGGTGGAGCGGGCGGTTAGAGAGTGGATGGGCAACGTGGTGGGGGGGTTAGGGGGGGGCTCACGCCACCCCCCCGCCCCCCGCCGATCTCCCCCACCCCCAATCCCCCCCCCCCGCCTCTCGCAGTGGACGTGAGGCGCCATGACGGAATCGGGATGATGGAGACGAGCTCCGAGTGCCGGGAGCGATGCGCGATTCTCGCGGGCACGCGGAGCCCAATTAGGGGGCTCGCGGCTCCGCGGCACGGCCACGGGCGGTTGCGAGCGCGATACAAAGGCAAAGACCCCACCTCCGTATAGGCTCCATAGATTATCGGGGCAAGTGCTGTTAGCGAGCGCCTATGAAGGCCATTGAGGCAACACCACGAGGAGATGGTGTGGCCCGAATCACTCCCGGCGATGTTTATATGCAAACAGCGCCAGGTACTCATTTAAAGCTGAGTCGACCTAGGAAAGATCACAGGATCGGTTAATTGATTGTGGCCGCGAACGGGAATCGAACGTGTTCAGCGCAATGAGCTGACCACTACGCCACCATTCGCCATCAATTCACTGCATACACAGATGCTCACTCACAGCGCCGAGCGCGCGCACACACACACACTCGCACAAACACACACAAACATGCACTAACACACGAACTCATCGCTCACACGCACACACACTCGCACATACACACATACATGCACTCACACACGAACTCATCGCTCACACGCACATACACTTGCACATACACACATACATGCACTCACACGGGAACGCATAGCTCACACACTCGCACATACACACACATACGTGCACTCACACACGAACTCATCGCTCACACGCTCACACGCTCGCACAAACACACACACATACATGCACTCACACACACTCACTCATGAGACACATACATGCACAGCTGATTTATACATGTACTCACCACTCGTCAGACAAAGATCCCCCATATAGCCTTAACAGGCTTTTGGGTCAAGTGCTGTTAGCGAGCACTTATTAAGATTGGCACGACACACGAGGGGAGTGGGTGGCCAGAACTACTCCCGGCCGCCTTTGTCTCCCCACTGGCGAGGTTTAAACACCGCTCCAGGTACTCATTTGAGACTAAATCGACCTAGGGGAGGCCCAAGACCGGTTCAAACTCATCACGCACACACAAAAAAACACTCAAGCAACCGCACTCATACAATAATAACGCAGACGACAACAATAATAGCAGCACTTGCACAAGGCGAGGAGCACCTCGAGGTCAGGTGATTAGGCAAAGGTCCGCTACTCTCAGGAGGTTACAGGCCAGACCCAGGTGGTACGAGTTAACGGAGACCACTGTCAGATCAGAGTTCGGGCCTTTGAGATCGTATCGCCTTTCTTGCCCTGAAGTGGAAGTCATCGCGGTGGCACTGAAAGTTACTTTTTTTTTTAAAGATATCACACAGTGTGATTTGTTATCGCTGGGCAGCTGGGGCGGTTTCCATCTCCTCGGGAACTCGTGGCCACCACTCGTCCTTGCGGAGCCGCAAGGACTCGTGGCCACCACTCGTCCTTGCGGAGCCGCAAGGCTCTCCGAACCTGCGAGCGGAGGCTGCTGTACTCGTCCAGATTTTTGGTGCGTCGGATGCAATGTGTGTGTACGTTGGACTTCTTTTGCACCGTACATAGCCAACCGTGCTGTTGCGGATGGTGAGATCGGGGACTGCCGCGATTTCTTAGTTGGCTGCAGGAACACGTCGTCTGTTAGCCAGGCTTATTGGAGAGGTCTCCCGCACCTCACCGCTACACTTACAGCTCTCCATCATTATTTTATTCAGATAATATCCTGCCCTGAGTAGAGGATTTCCCACCCCTTTGTGGGTGGCAGTAGCTGGAGCCGGACCACCAGACGAACCACATGTATTCTAGTTGCACAGGCGGTACCGGACCAGCTCCCGACAAGAGTAATGGCAGCCTCTTCTCCCAAGCAAGTGATTGGACAATACTCATCATTTTGATGAGTGCGGGTTGTTGTTGAAGGTGTGGAGGTATAGAAGTACAGCATAATAAATCGCGCTGCCCTGCTCTCTGCTGCCGACAACGTAACTCCACATCCTATAACGCCTGCTATCCATCTCGGTCGCTCATCCAAACATCGCTATGCAGGCTCAAATTCCTGCTTAGGTTCTACAGACGAGGTCAGCGGGCCAATTCTGGGTGATTCGGTCATAGGTCCACTTCGCATGACGCTCACACACAGAGGAACACAAATACAAAAAAAAGACACGGCATTTGAGAGGTCCCATTTGTAATATGTGAGGACGGATGAGCTGGCCAGGGTGGAGGCGAGTGAGGGCAGCGAGGAGGGAGAGTGCGGCCGTTGTGATGGGTGAGTCATTGCCAACGGGATGGAGGAATGGTGGACGTGGGGGGGGAGGCGACGTGGGGGAGGGAGGAAGGGACGAGGGAGGGAGAGAATGGGTGAGCGTAAGGAGCGAGGAAGTGGAGGTAGGGAGGGATGATGAAGGCAGAGAGAGAGAGTAATGTAGGGAGGAGTATGGAGAGGAAAGGGGAGGGCATAGAGGGAAATATGAAGGGAGAGAGATTGGAATATGGAGGGAGAATGGAGAGATAATTGCAGGAGGGATAGAGAGAGAGAGAGAGGGATGGTGAGACAGAGGGAGATAGAGGGTGAGAGATAGATGGAGGGTGAGAGAGAGAGAGGGATGGAGGGAGAGAGATGGAGGGTGAGATAGAGATGGAGGGTGTGAGAGAGATGGAGGGTGTGAGAGAGGGAGAGAGAGGGATGGAGGGAGAGAGAGATGGAGGGTGAGAGATAGATGGAGGGTGAGAGAGAGAGAGGGATGGAGGGAGAGAGATGGAGGGTGAGATAGAGATGGAGGGTGTGAGAGAGATGGAGGGTGTGAGAGAGATGGAGGGTGTGAGAGAGGGAGAGAGAGGGATGGAGGGAGAGAGAGATGGAGGGTGAGAGCGAGATGGAGGGTGAGAGAGAAAGAGAGATGGATGGTGAGAGAGAGAGAGATGGAGGGTGAGATGTAGAGGGATGGAGAGAGATAGAGATATTTTTTTATGAATAATATTACAAATATTACGTAGAAAACATAGACATAGTGTAGGGAGAGAGGGGGTAGAGAAAGAGGGGGGGGGGGTAGAGAGAGAGGGAAGGGGTAAGGAGAGCAGATCGTGAAATCTTTGTGAAATCTTTCATTTAATAAGGGTGGGGGGGGGGGGTAACATAATGCAAAGCATTAAAAAAACGAAATGATGAACGAAGCAAAGTGCCGACTACACCGAGCATCTTCTTGTTTCCTCTGATCATAAAAAAGAGATAGAGAGAGAGATGGAGTGAAGCAGTATGTAGAGAAAAGGGAGGGAGGGGAGCAGCTGGACACAACAGTGGTGTGTACTTTGGGGGGGGGCGGTGGGGGGGGGGGCGAAGTTACAGAAGCAGAGACTGCAGAGTGTAAGACGGGATTTAAAGAGGAGAGGGAGAAAAAAATGACATTAGTGGGTAGCTTTCCAACTTGAGATGTGTTGGACACAATGTTCCGGCTTCACTGCGCCCACTGAATATTCCAAATTTATCCACGAAAAAGTCATTTAGCGCGCAAATTCGGTAAATTCATCTTCCTGTCAAAGCCTATCTCGCCACTCGGCACATCTGCCCACGTTAAGCGCTGTAGCAGTGGTCAGAGCGTGAGATGGAGATGGGGGGGAGAGCGGGGGTGGGGGGCGGGGGGCGATGGGGGGGGTGCCACTCTCCTCTGCCCCCCCTCCCTGTGATGCCACTGCCGCTGTTGTTGCAGCCACGGGAGCGTGAAGGGGCGACAGCCACAACAGAGAAGCGGCTCTGAATAGAAGGACCGGTGAATAGAAGGACCAGGCATTCGCCAATGACACAGCCACGAGAGGACAACATTTTATATATAGTAGGCGACGTTTCGGGCAATGACCCTTCATAATAGCAGACAGAGAGAGCGAGAGGAACACAAATTTGAATGATAGCTACTGGGGAGCAGGCATGTGGAGAGAAACGCAACGGCAATCGCGTTGAGAATTCACAGCGATGCACGCCACGCACTCCCCCACTCTCCTCCATCCCTCGCACACCCCCCCGCCCCCCCCCCCCCCCCCAAACAATTCAACCTCCTCCACCTACATCGACCCCCCGCCCCCCACGTACCCGCGCATTGAATCGACAACCTGCATGGCCTTCGTCCAAGCGCAACCTCTGTTTATTTTCAATCCTCCTCGCTCTCTTTTTTTTTCTTTTAACGTGCAGGAATTGGAAACTGCTTTTTCCTATTTTTGTGATGTGTGGGACGCAGCGGCCAGCGACAGGGAGAGAGCGAGAGGTAGAGGGAGAGAGAGAGGAAATCTAAAGACAATGTAATGGAATGGGAAACAGCGCCGTGTATGAGAGGTGTGTGAGTGAGTGAGCGAGCGTGCGTTCGTGGAACCGAGCGAGCGATGGAACATTAATAAAATAAACAATAAACACCATGTTCAGAAAGCACAGCGGCTGCAGAGACCGAGTGGGTGGGTGCGGGGTGTGGGTGGGGTGACTGGGATGATAGAGGCGGGGGAAGGTGCGGAATAGGCGAGCGGGGAGGAGGAGGGTGGTGGTGGTTGGAGCCACGGGCGAGAGGGAAGTGCCAGTGATTAAAGCGCAGGCTCCCGGCCCACGTGGCAGCAGCGTGAGCCCGACGGCGTGAGACTCCAACGAGGTGAGACGGGGAGACACGACGGGAGGGGCGCACGGTGCAGACCCCACCCCCACACACACACAGACACTGGAGTGATGGGGAGTCCTGGCTGGACCATGCGGTCTCGTGAGACGCGACTCTCGCTGGGTGCACACACACTTTCACCCCGACGCACCGCACGCGATCTGTCGCTCAACCAAACCGTCGTAAAACCCATCGGTGCTGGCTGGGTGGACAGAGGTGGTGAGAAGGGGTTGGGGATATGAACAAACCTGCATCCATTGTTTCAACCGCCGTTCCGGGGGATCGAACCCGCGACCTCTGGATCGCAGGCTCCGGAGTGCCGCTCACCACTCGCTCTGGCAGCTTCCCCCCCCCACTCCCTCCACACTGACGTCACTGATGGCCTGAGTCTGCGTCATCATTCGGACTCTCCTCGTTCCGGCCGGTTCGTCACTCGCGTCACTCGCTCCAGTTCGTAGGAGTCGTCGCCGCCACGCTCCACCGGCGACGAACATAAACCAACGTTGGGCCAACGTTGGGATGTGATGGAAGCCGTCGGGTTTACGTCTAACAAACGTTCACGAGCGCGCCCGGTTATTTCCATCGCTAAATTGTGGCCCGGTGACTCGGCGATAGGAAGGATGCGAGTTCAATTTCTGCTTTGGCGAAAGGCGTTCAACTCATCCCAAATATCTTTCCGGGTTCGATAAAAAAGAACCCCCCCCCCCCCCCACCACCAGAAAACCACTGCCGCTTTGTGAGGAAATCAACAGCTGTTGCCCTATGGACAGACTCGGTCCCCCGCCATAGGAATGCGGAATGTCATTCGCTGGCTCAGCGCCGCGAGCTGAGTGGTGGGATACAGCGATGGCCAAACCCCTTACCACACCGCCCCCCCCACACCACCCCCCACACCCCCCACACACCCCTCTCCGTGTGGTGGTGGTGCAGGCGACGGGGCAATCGCGGGCGACAGCTCGCGGGGCCGACGGGCCGACAGGGGTTACAGAGGTCGCGCTCCGCGGTGATCACTTTCCCACTCGGCGTCTAACGATGGCGACACTGATGGAGAGTGGAGAGCAGCGGAGAGGGGAGAGAGAGGGGTGCAGACGGGAGCGGAGAGGGGTGGAGAGGGGCAGCGAGGAGAGGGGAGAGGGGCAGCGAGGAGAGGGGAGAGGGGCAGCGAGGAGAGGGGAGAAGGGCAGCGAGGGGAGCGGAGAGGGGCAGCGAGATGATTGCCCCCACCTTGAGACCTGATACACTGAGAGTGTTGGTTTTGATTAACGCAGTTCCAGCGCTCGTAGTTCCCAGCCACGACTCATCCGCCTCCCGCGAGGAGTTTCGAGATCCATCCTTAACCACGCTGGCTCACTAGTCACTCGTAGTAGCCCTAGCCATAGCGCAGCCACTCGTAGTGGCCCTAGCCACAACCGCACTAACTAGCCATTGGCATTAGCCCTGCTGCTGCCGCTGGCTTGCGTTGCCTGCCAGCTGACTGTGTGGCTCCGCGTCGACGGCGAGGGATGAAATGTGCATGGACGACCCACGACGGATATCGGCGCAGCGTCGTCGCTTTGTTTGATTTGTCAGCTTCGTTGATTCGCAGCGCCGCGCAGCTCACAACGCCTCGGGCGCCCAGCGCCGGCGGCGCGCGCGCGCGACTCTCGCCGAGAGAAGAGAGGAGAGAGAGAGGCAGGGAGGGAGAGAGATGAGAGAGACAAAGACGACCGCCGGGCGAGGGGCGGCCTGGGGGAGCGAGTTGGCCGTGGCTTGTGGGGGGGGGGGGGGGAGCAGCATTCACCCACCATCGCGCTCACCCCGTAGGAAGCGGCGGGCGCAAGCGCGTGCGTGTAGGCGTCTGCCGCGGTGTAGACGCGTCCATAGCTGCGGGCGAACGAGAGGGGGAAGAAGGAAGGGGCGGTGGGGGCCGGGCGGGGTGGGGGGAGAGACAGGGGAGGTGGTGGAGAGACGGGAAGGGAAGGGGTTGTAAGTGAATTGGGAGAGACACGCGTCTCACCGAGATCTGATTTAGCGACGCGGAGGAATGACACGGGACCATCGGACAATCTGATGGTGATGAAGCCCAATAAATACACGGGATGCTGCCGCGGTCACTGCCAGGAGAGTCACGCCGCGTGGGTCGCGGTGAGCGGAGAGGGGGAGTGCTTCGCTGCGAGTTGATGGTTGTGGTTGTCTTTGTCTCCGTTGTATTCGTATGTTTGTGAATGTGTGTCTGAGCGAGTGGTGGTGTGTGTGTGTTGCGTTGCAACTACGAACCCGGCGAACCCAGTTCGATTCCCGCTCACAGCCAACGCCGGTGACGATTATCTGAAACGGTCCTGGGCCTCCTCTAGGTCGACTAAGGCTCAAATGAGCACCTGGTGCGGTGTGTAAACATCGCCACGAGCGAGACAAAAGCGGCCGGGTTTGGTGCTGGCCACCCACCCCCTCGTGTGCCGTGCCGGCCTTTCATATGTGTTCGCCAACAACACTTGCCCCAAAAGTATAATAAAGCTATACGGATAATCTTTGTCTTTGTTATTTTTTTGCGTTGGGGGGTCTGTGTGTGTGTGTCGGGGAGATGTAGCGAAGTTGTCTGTAACTAAACAATGTTTTTTTTATTTACCAGGTAAGGTCCACTGAGATATACAGCTCTGTTTCAGAAGTCACCTACAGCTCAGCAAAGTTGCGTATAATGTCGCAGCCCAATACTTTAAACCAGTGGTACTTAACCTTGACCGCAGCATTGCACCCCTTGGTTGTCAATCATAAAAAACAAAGTACAATGTTAGTAAACATACAACGTTTTGATGAAACAAAGCAATTGTAGTTTCGTTTCTGTGCTTAATTTGTGTTTTGGATGATTTACCTTCTAAAAAAAAGTCTGTCCACGTCTCACACCCCCAGGGGGTGTGCGTGCACCCCCCAGGTTAAGAACCACACGAATCCTGCCACCCGAGTTAGATTCCCGCGGTACTTACATGAACCAGTTCTGATCCTCCCCTAGGTTGACTCAGTCTAAAATAAGTACCTGGTGCGGTGTGTAAACATCGCCACTAGAGAGACAAAGGCGGCCGGGTGTGGGGCCGTGACGGCCTTCGTAGGTGCTCTCTAACAGCATTTGACCCAAAAGTGTATTAAGGCTATACGGGGGAACTTTGTCTTTGTATCTATGTATGTATGTTTAAGTAAGTGGGGTGTATGTATGTCTGCGTGTATGTATGCATGAGTAAGTGGAGTTATGTATGTGTGTATGTATGAGTGAGTGGGGTGTATGTCTGTATGAGTGAGTGGGGTGTATGTATGTCTGTATGTTTGAGTGAGTGGGGTGTAAGTATGTCTGTATGAGTGAGTGGGGTGTATGTATGTCTGTGTGCATGTACAGTATGTATGAGTGAGTGGGGTGTATGTCTGAGTGAGTGGGGTGTATGTATGTCTGTATGTTTGAGTGAGTGAGGTGTATGTATGTCTCTATGAGTGAGTGGGGTGTATGTATGTGTGTTTGTATGTTTGAGTGAGTGAGGTGTATGTATGTCTGTATGTATGAGTGAGTGGGGTGTATGTATGAGTGTCTGTATGTATGTTTGAGTGAGTGGGGTGTATGTATGTCCGTGTGTATGTATGTCTGTATGAGTGAGTGGGGTGTATGTATTCATAATAAAGGTTTTTGGGTAAGATCGCGTTATTTATAAATGTGTGGTAACCCTCCACCACCCGACACGGCATACCATTGAGGTAGTTTATATATATATATATATTTTTACCATATGTTTACTATATGGTATGCATTATATAGTGTAGTGTATACCCAGTTTGCTGTTAATAGCTCTGCTTATTGAAGAATATATTGAGTACATTTATTATATTGATGTAATTTAGACTTGGGTTTTTTTTCACATCGGTTTACTTATGATAGTTGAGTTGTTGCAGCCCCTTTGGCGTCCATGTACGAGGTGCCTCTGTGGATGTGTAGGCTTTGACTTTAACATAGCTATTTCTGTGACCAGTCACAAGCTAATCCCTCAACTGTTTCAATGCTAAATTCTCCTGTTTGATATGTAAACCCCTTTGTCAAGGCGCCTCACTTCTCTCAACCAGCTTAAAAGACGCTGCGAATCTTAGCAGCATTCATTGTAGCTCTGACGTCCAGACAGGTTTGTTCCTTTCACCTGAAGAAGGCCACTTGTGTTGTGGCCGAAACGTCGTGAGAATTTTATTGTTTTATTTTATAATTTTATTCTCATTCTACGTGACTTTACCGAAAGAACCAAAGAAGATTAATCCTTGCAGTCACGAAAGCTTTAAATCGAAAAACTAACCAAATGAATAACTTTTCTAGACTTCATAATAAACAAATCCCTACTAAAAACGAACAATTTAAAAACAAAACCGAAATGAACATGACTAACACTGTTTTAACTAGTGACATGATCTCTGTCCTTTCTAAAAGCCTTAACTTTGCCATTACCCCACGCATAATTCCAGTGGATGAGATAATTGCTGACGTAGAATCAGCATTAAGACTCCTTCCACATAATGAGGCAGAGATGACTAGACACGAGGTTGCCAAAATAATTGAGAATAGCAAAGTTCCAAAAGTAAATATTAGCTCTAACGAAGCAAAAGCCTTAAGAGAGCTCCGTGTAAATAAAAATATCCAAATCCTGGCAGCTGATAAAGGCCGCACTACTGTAGTGATGTCACGAGCCGATTATGATAATATAATTAGAAATTTACTAGAGGAAAGTACCTACATTAAAATTAAACGAGATCCAACTAATACTTTAGAACGTAAGACTACTGCAATACTTGCAAATTCATTAATTCCTAAGAATGAGCAACACCAAATTAAGCCAAGGGTCTCAAAACCACCTAGATTGTATGGGCTACCAAAGATTAATAAAATCGGCATCCCATTACGACCCATAGTCAGTACAATTGGCTCTGCCACTTATAAATTAGCAAAATATATAACTAAACAATTACAGCCCTACATCGGTAGGATATCTTCATGCATATGAAATTCAGAACATCTTGTGAATGTGATTAAACATATTAAACTTAATCATAATGACATTCTGGTAAGTTTTGATGTGATTTCTCTATTCACTAAGGTTCCAGTGAACTAATCGCTTAAATTACTTGATACACTTGTAAAGAATACAGGTTTACCAAAAGATATTCCGAAACTTGCTGACCATTGTTTAAATAACATTTACTTTTTATGGAGATGGGATTTCTTTAAACAAAAGGAAGGAGCAGCAATGAGCTCTCCTGCTATAGCAAATCGGTACATGGAAATCTTTGAAATAAGAGCACTTGCCTCGAGCACATCAAAACCATATTTTTGGTTTAGATATGTGGATGACACTTTGGTTGTCTGGCCACATGGTAAAGATACACTTAATGATTTTCTAAATCATCTCAATGCACAAAACCCGGCCATCCAGTTCACCATGGATATGGAGGTGAATAACACACTCCCATTCCTAGATATTTTGCTTGGACATGGCCTAAACGGTAAAATAACACAGCGTTTACAGAAAGCAAACGCACACTGATGCCTATCTGAATGCAGATTCGCATCATCATCCAGCTCAGAAATCCTCTCTTATCAAGACGCTCATACATCGGGCTAAAACAGTGTCAGATGGTAGTCTAGTGAGAGAGATCAAACACGTTAAAGAAGCATTACGACAGAATGGCTACAATAATACTCAAATTAACAGAGCACTGAATGCCAAATCACGATCGCAAAACAACACTGCTGAAAGCGATCAGATTGTTAAAACAATTAAAATTCCATATATCTCAGGAGTAACTGACAAATTAGCCCGTGTTTTGCAAAAGCAAAACATTACAGTTAGATTTGGTACAGTACACACAATTCAAAAACTAGTATCTTGCACTAAAGACGAATTACCTAAATTATCAACAGAAGGTGTATATCGGATTAATTGTTTATGTGGTAGATGCTATATTGAACAGACGGGACGTAACATCAGCATAAGACTAAAAGAACACCAAAGAAATATTAAATGATCTCAAACACAACTGTCGGCAGTGGCAGAACATGCTTGTCAACAAGGACACTCAATTGATTTTGATAACGTTGAAGTGTTGTGTAAAACTAATTATTACTGGCAAAGACTAATTAGAGAATCCATTGAAATTGAGAGAAATAGAAATAACTTTAATCGCTCTGAGAGCTATAGGCTTAGTGCGGCTTGGAAGCGTATTATTAAATATTATAATTCCTTATAGGGGAAACATAAACTAATTAACAGATTACTAACGTAGCATATAATCACAATAACACACATTACAACTAATTACTAATCTACAACTCATTACTAATCATGTCTGGTTACCAATCGATTATATAATTACTGCACCTAATTGAGTCAAATGATGACGTCACCCTGCTGCTCTATTTAAGACCGGGAGCAAGTGAGGGCTTTACCATTCTGGCGAATTGCCCGATGATGCTGGATGTAATTACCAGCGAAACGTCGTATTCAAACTGTAAATGTTGTGGATTCACTCTTCCACACACCGGTGGGCTAAAGTAGTGAACTAATTGTCTTTTGTCAACGTGACACTTTTTTTCTGATTGGCCGTGTCGGGTGGTGGAGGGTTACGACACATTTATAAATAACGCGATCTAACCCAAAAACCTTTATTATGAATAATATTGGTCACAAAAGCCTACGTGTTAAACTGGGTTTTTTTGTATGTCTGTATGTTTGAGTGAGTGGGGTGTATGTATGTCTGTATGTTTGAGTGAGTGGGGTGTATGTATGTCTGTGTGCATGTATGTATGTATGAGTGAGTGGGGTGTATGTATGTATGTTTTGAGTGAGTGGGGTGTATGTGTGTCTGTATGAGTGAGTGGGGTCTATGTGTGTCTGTGTGCATGTATGTTTGAGTGAGTGAGGTGTATGTATGTCTGTATGAGTGAGTGGGGTGTATGTATGTCTGTGTGCATGTATGAGTGAGTAGGGGTCTTGGTGGCAGTCAAGGTAAGCGGAACAGCGCCCATCTCTCACGTGAGCGCGACGCGCCTATTGATCGCCGAGCCCCTACCAGCTGATGGATACCGCCACTAATACGCCCGATGGCTCTGGGCTGTGTGCGTGTGTGGTTGTGTCTGTGTGTGTGGGTAGCGGTAGTGCAGCGGCTAGCGTGCTGCGCTACGGACCCCACATCCCGAGTTCGATTCCCGCTCACGGCCAACACCATTGACGATTGTCTGAACCGGTCCTGGGCCTCCCCTAGGTCGACTCAGCCTTAAATGAGTATGTGGGGTGGTGTGTAAATATCGCCACTCGGGAAATGAAGGCGGCCGGGTATGGTGCTGGCCATCCACCGCCTCGGCCTTCAGAGGTGCTCGCTCACAGCACTTGCTCCAAAGGTCGGTGAAGGTTACATGGGGTGTCATTGTGTGTGAGAGTAGGGAGCGGTGGCGCAGTGGTTGGCGCACTGCGCTACAAACTCGGCGACCCACGTCGCAATCTCCCGCCAACTGAGCCTCTAGGCATGGACTCTATGCCATGCCGACCTTGACATTGCTTGACCCAACGGTCTGTTAAAGGCTACGCTGGGGATATTTGACTTTGTGTACAAGTGAGTGTGGAGTTCCGCCATACCAATGAGGTCGAGAACCACCGCTTTAATGGAATTATAAATGGAAGAAAAAAAAACACGTTTCCAGGCTGAGAGATTGAGATACGTTGCTCAGTGGCAATGATCGATCCACTGCTGGACGAAAGGGAGGCCCTCGGCAATGAGTCGCCATCTCTCGCCGCGATCTCTGTGATGGATCCACCTCGGCAACACGAGGCCCGAATTTCATCGCTCCATCTCCCATCGCTCCATCTCCCATCGCTCTATCTCCCATCGCTCCATCTCCCATCGCTCCATCTCCCATCGCTCTATCTCCCATCACTCCATCTTCCATCGCTCTATCTCCCATCGCTCTATCTCCCATTGCTCCATCTCCCGTCGCTCCATCTCCCATCGGACGGCGGGGGTGCGTGACTACGGGAAGGAGTTCCATTCCTTTTGGGCGCCGCTCCGGTGGTGATCCTCGACCGTCGTCGCTCCACCGAATCGGCGAGTGACGCGGCGGGTGACGCGGCGGGTGACACGGCGGGTGACGCGGCAGGTGACTCGGTGAGTGACTCGGCGAGTGACTCGGCGGGTGACTCGGCGAGTGACTCGGCGAGTGACTCGGCGAGTGACTCGGCGAGTGACGCGGCAGGTGACACGGCGAGTGACTCGGCGGGTGATGCGGCAGGTGACTCGGCGAGTGACTCGGTGAGTGACTCGGCGAGTGACTCGGCGGGTGACTCGGCGAGTGACTCGGCGAGTGACTCGGCGGGTGATGCGGCGGGTGACGCGGCGGGTGACGCGGCGGGTGACACGGCGGGTGACTCGGCGGGTGACTCGGCGAGTGACTCGGCGAGTGACTCGGCGGGTGATGCGGCGGGTGACGCGGCGGGTGACGCGGCGGGTGACTCGGCGAGTGACTCGGCGGGTGACTCGGCGAGTGACACGGCGGGTGACGCGGCAGGTGACTCGGCGAGTGACTCGGCGGGTGACTCGGCGGGTGACTCGGCGAGTGACTCGGCGGGTGACACGGCGGGTGACTCGGCGGGTGACTCGGCGAGTGACTCGGCGGGTGACTCGGCGAGTGACACGGCGGGTGACGCGGCAGGTGACTCGGCGAGTGACTCGGCGGGTGACGCGGCAGGTGACTCGGCGAGTGACTCGGCGGGTGACGCGGCAGGTGACTCGGCGAGTGACTCGGCGGGTGACTCGGCGGGTGACTCGGCGAGTGACTCGGCGGGTGACTTGGCGGGTGACGCGGCGGGTGACGCGGCAGCTGGGTCTCACCTGTCGCTGTACACGGCGGCCGTGGCGGGCTGCGCGTATCGGTAGGTCGTATATCCTCCCTGTAGGGACACGCGGGGGTACAAGGGCACACACACACGGGTACACGCACACACGTGCACGGGTAAGCATCCGATCAATACCACTGCCCGGTCTCTGTCCTGTGCCTGGTTTAATCTGGCTTCATGAGAGAGGTGAACAAAGTGAGGCGACGTGGTTGAGGTTTGGTTAGGGTGTGGGGGTGAGTGACGTGGGGGTGATTGAGTGAGCGAACGAGGTGAGTCGGCGGTGAGTAATCCAGACAGAGAGCAACATTCCTGGGTTCTCAATGGGAAAGTCCAGGAACCTCGCCACCCCCACCAATGATAACCTCACCAACACCACCACCACCACCACCACCAAGAGTCACCCATCACAACACTCCGGTCATTACCACCGGGACACGGAGCGCAACTCGGCAAAGGGCGCCATTATCGCGCGCCCTCCCAGGGGCAACAGCTGCCACCGATAACCACGACACCTGCCACGACCCTTGCGGTCACAGCACCCGCACTCGCCGCGCGACAACGAAACTCCGGAACGAAGGCGAACTTCGGGACAGAACAGCAAAGTGCCGTGGGAAATTACGCAACGCGACCTGGAGCGCCGTCGCCCGCGGCCACGTGTCCCCCTGGACGCCGCCCGCTCGCTCGCTCGCTTCTTGTCCGATCTCAGAAGCTCACCGTGACCGGGGTAGAGTCCCGGTCACTGGCGGCCGCCTCGCATAGAAAGCCACCGGGCGCGTGACTCGCCACGTGGCTCTGCGGCCAAAGGACGTTTCCGGTGGTTTTCTGTGTGGTCCATGGTGTGAGTTGCAGTGGCCACAACCGCGATCCTGTGGCTCGTGCCTTTAATCTTCTGTTCATGAATCGGCCTGCTGTTGTTCTGATGCGGTTGATGGTGACACCATCGGTGTCTTCGAGGAGAAAAAGTCGAAGCCAGGAGAAGCGATGTTTGGATTTTGGATGAGGCGTTTATTCTGGAAGTGCGTGCGATGTTCCACTCTGTTCAACAGCGTTCTCCTGGATCTGGATGAGATTCTTGGGGGGTGACATCAGCGCGATCCCAGAAGGGGGATCGGGACACGAGTCGACGGCGAGGTGACATTGTTGAGGTATGGGGTTGATGATGGCAAAAAACAAATGTCAGCTCCTTTTGCAGTTTGCGCAATGTCTCTGTGGATATATTTGGGTGGCAAAAAAAACGTTCGCCGGAACAGGGAGCCAGGGGATCGTTTCCAGTTTCAGAGCCCCGGCTACGACCACGCATCGCGTTCTTCAATGGTGCGCTAACCCTACGACACCTGCCACGACCCTTGCACGAGCTGCCGGGCCAGGGCTGGAGCGCGGTGAACTAACTCTGCCACTGCGTAAATCGGTGGGAGGGCGGCAATTCGCACCAGGTCGCTTCTGGGTGTTTCTCTCGTGGTGGATGTCCGTGACATTACCCGCAAATCGGCGGTTTAGGAGGGCGGGCCGGTGGGTGTGGGGGGGGGCAGTGTTGGGGCAAGTGCCCCATGGCCTGGCTCTGGTGACCGCAGCAGTCGCATTGCCCCGATTGTTTGCTGCCAGAAAAGGCTGCCAACCTTCAGCGCAACTTAACCTCTATGGAGCGGAACGGACGCCGTCAGGCAGGTGCCAGACGTCGCCGGCCCGTGGTTTTTTCGGAGCGGAGAGCGACGTTGCAATTCGACGCTCAAGTTCTCAACCCGTTTCTCCTTTGGTCGGTGGCTCCTGCGTTGGGACGACGAGACGGAAAAACTCGAGGAGCTTCAACCCCCCTCACCCACGAAGGAAGGGCTTTCAAACTCCACGGGCTAATTCTCAAAAGCCCCAAGCTCAATAATCCATCAATGAATCTATGCACCCGTCAATCAATCTATCAATCAGTCCATCGATTAATCCAAAACCTTGATTTATTACCGGGGTGAAAGCCCGTTGAGACGGATGTCTCTCTTCTGAGCGAAGCAAGACGTGGGGTTAAACAAAACACAATCCAGAGAGCCTCACTGAGTCTCAAGACTTTTTTTTTCCACGATGGTCCAACGAATGTTTTGCTCGCCTGTGGGACTCGCTGCATAAACCTACCACGCGAGGGATTTCGCCCAATCAATGAAGCTGCAGGGCCACATTAATTGAGACGGGGTTTTTTTGTTTTAATATGTTTTCGTGAGGTCATTGGTGACCGGGCTGAGACCATCGCCTTCACAACGCATGAGAAACCCGGGTTTTAATTGCAATCCGCTATCTGGATTTGAGCCCAGAATCTTAAGAGATGCCAGCTCAGCGCTGCTGAACTCTGAGCCACCTGCCCACTTCGCTAACCCACCCACTTGCTGTGCTGCCGCGTTCCAATTGCCCTGCTGGTCGCCGTCTAATCGTGCACGTCCTGAATGACCACGCGCCGACGTCCAGAATCACCCCGGAATTCGCCCGGACCTGGTAGGAATCTGAGAAGCTAAGCAGGTTTGAGACTAGATTGGAAAGTGATTGGATGGGCGACCAGTTGGCATGTTCTCCACGTGTGCGCGTGGATGTTTTGTCCGGGTCCTCCTGTTTTTACCTCCACATTTAGAAACATGCACTTAGATCATTTTGGTGCTATAGATGTCCAACTGATAAGCCACTTTGTTGAGCTGTCATTTGTGGCCAGGTCGCTTGTGAAAAGTAAGTTAACACCTCAGTGGGCTTTGCCTGGTAGGCTGGGGATGGTTTAGTGTCGTATTTGTTTGTGTGCTGGGTGATTTGTTGACCTTTCTTGTACTTTGCACTGCTATCGTGTTTGCGAACTGTTTGTTATTGTGACGTTCTTACCCGCCCCTACTAGACATCTGTGGAAAAAAGAGCTTCATAGCTCATCGGATTCCTCCGGTAAAAATAAAGATTCAGATTCTGCTCGTCAGAGGGCTATGGGGGTACCCGCTGTGGACAGTGCGACAACAGCCATCGTTGTACCGTACTCTCTATGACCTCCACGTTCTTCCTCTTCTTTCGTATGGAATTGTGAAAAGCAACAGTTTTTTAAAATCTTTTCTCAATGATCGTCATAAATGAACGCGAAGGTTCCTCATCCAGTCCAACGAGGCGGTTGAAGCAGTGTGGATTTAAGCAACAACGCCACGATGTGTACCGATGAAGCATTCATCGGCGATGTGCTCGATGGTTTGGACTTATCCACAGGTGCAGTTGCGCGATTCTTTGATCTTCCATTTACGGAACGCGGACGCACGCGCATTACCGTGTCGCGTTCGAGCGCGGTTCGGCGTGGTCCGTAGTCGTCGTGGAAGAGACAATCCCGGCGCTTCCACCGTCGGATCGTGAGTTATGTTTTTGTTTGCCACGTCCATAGCAGCTCACGATTCAGAGCACCGAGTGGCGGTGTCTTTAATATCGGCTGCTCGAGCGGAGGCGCGCATCCAGCACGGTTCGTGGATTTTAGCCTTGGGCGTGGGCGTTCATTTAGATTTCGATGGAGCGGCAGAGTATAGTTCTTCTCCTCCACGTTCATAGAGACCCACACACTCTCATAGAGACCCACACACTCTCATAGAGACTCACACACTCTCATACAGACTCATGCACTCTCATAGAGACACACACACTCTCATAGAGACACACACACTCTCATAGAGACCCACACACTCTCTGATAGAGACCCATGCACTCTCATAGAGACCCACGCACTCTCATAGAGACCCACACACTCTCATAGAGACACATACACTATCATAGAGACCCATACACTCTCATAGAGACCCACACACTCTCATAGAGACCCATACACTCGCATAGAGACCCACACACTCTCATAGAGACCCATACACTCTCATAGAGACCCACTCTCATAGAGATCCACACACTCTCATAGAGACCCACACACTCTCATAGAGACCCATACACTCTCATAGAGACCCACACACTCTCATAGAGACACACACACTCTCATAGAGACCCACACACTCTCATAGAGACCCATACACTCTCATAGAGACCCATACAGTCTCATAGAGACCCATACACTCTCACAGAGACCCATACACTCTCATAGAGACCCACACACTCTCATAGAGACCCACACACTCTCATAGAGATCCACACACTCTCATAGAGACCCATACACTCTCATAGAGACCCATACACTCTCATAGAGACCCATGCACTCTCATAGAGACCCACACCCTCTCATAGAGACCCACACCCTCTCATAGAGACCCACACACTCTCATAGAGACCCACACACTCTCATAGAGACCCACACACTCTCATAGAGACCCACACACTCTCATAGAGACCCACCCACTCTCATAGAGACCCACACACTCTCATAGAGACCCATGCACTCTCATAGAGACCCATGCACTCTCATAGCGACTCATGCACTCGCATAGAGACCCATACACTCTGATTTAGGCAGTTCAAGCTTATTATAACTTACATGATCGAGTTAAAATATTCATTAATGTTGTTTAGAAACCCCTTCGTTATGTCACGGGGTAGCTCGTTGCAGACACTGCCTGTACGATGCGTAAAGGAGAGTTTTCCTGGACCGCAATTCGCGTCTGGTTTCTTGTTTGTGTGTTTGGGACACGTGAAGGAAGCATTGTCCGCCTGTTTGTGCTTTTGTTATTCACATTCTCCGCAGGCACGCCAATGTTGTTCTTGGTTGTGTATCTACTTTGCTCGTGCGTCCAGCTGAGAGCCCTACAGCGTTGAGAGAGGATGTCCTTTCTGAAATCGGCGAGTTCATCTGCATTGGTTGTCTCGGACGCTGCTGCTGCTGCTGCTGCTGATGAGACACTGCGTGTCGAAGCCAGACCTGAGCGTTTGTTCTTGTCTACCTGAATCAATGCTACTGAATGTATACACTCTCAGAAGGAAGGAAGCAACCCCCCGCCCCCCCCCCCCCCCCCCCCTCCACGTGTGCTGCTGATGGGATGTGTAGAAAAATATTTATGTCGAGACAGACATGTGAGGGCGACAAACTGCCCGCGTATAAATTATTACCACGATCGTGTCGCCTTGTGTTTTCCTATGAGAACTGCGATCTCCATAGAGCACAGAGAGAGAGAGAGAAAGAGAGCATTGATTGGCTGATTGGTTGACTCGAGCAAGCCTGAGACGCGGGTGACTCGGTGGGACGGGGGGTACTTGGTGGGACGGGGGTACTTGGTGGGAAGTGGGTACTTGGTGGGACGGGGGTAGGTGGTGGGACGTGGGTATTTGGTGGGACGCGGGGTACTTGGTGGGACGTGGATACTTGGTGGGACGGGGGTACTTGGTGGGACGTGGGTACTTGGTGGGACGGGGGTAGTTGGTGGGACGTGGGTACTTGGTGGGACGGGGGTACTTGGTGGGACGGGGGTACTTGGAGGGAAGGGGGTACTTGGTGGGACGTGGGTACTTGGTGGGACGGGGGTAGTTGGTGGGACGTGGGTACTTGGTGGGACGTGGATACTTGGTGGGACGGGGGTACTTGGTGGGACGCGGGGTACTTGGTGGGACAGGGGTACTTGGTGGGACGGGGGTACTTGGTGGGACGGGGGTACTTGGTGGGACGGGGGTACTTGGAGGGAAGGGGGTACTTGGTGGGACGGGGGTACTTGGTGGGACGGGGGTACTTGGTGGGACGCGGGTACTCACGAAGAGATCGGCGCCGTAGAACGCGTCCTGGTACACAACTCTGTGCGACGGCGTGGGCGGCAGCGGCGGCGATGGTGGTGGTGGCACAGAGAGCCACGTGGAGTCCCACGGTAGTTGTGGTCGTAATAATATAGATAACAATTATAATAATCATAAATAATAATGGTGAGAGTAATGATGATGATGATGAGAATAATAATCATGATGAGAGTAATGATGATGGTAAGAGTGATGATGGTAATGATGATAATGGTGGAGATAAATAATAATCACGAGATAATGATATGGAAAATATAATAAATAAAATAAAAATAAGTAATTGTAAAATAAATAAATAATATTTTGCATGAGATCATAAGAATAACGATAATAAATCAATGGAAAAATTAAGATGATCAAGAGGAAGTAAAGAAACAACAATTAGTTCAATTTCATTAAAGTGTACAACATCGCCACTCGGGAGACAAAGGCGGACGGGCGTGGTGCTGGCCACCCACCCCTCGTGTGCCGTTCTGGCATTCATAGGTGCTCCCCCAACAGCACTTGCCCCAACAGTTTGTTACAGGCTACACGGGGATCTTTGTCTTTGTCTCTTTGCCCCAGTGTAGCGGTTAGCACGCTGCACTGAAAAACCCGGTGACCCAAGTTCGATTTCCGCTCACGGCCAACACCAGTGACGATTATCTGAACCCTTCCTGGGCCACCCCTAAGTCAATTCAGCCTGAAATGAGTACCTGGTGAGGTGTGTAAACATCGCCACTAGCGAGACAAAGGCAGCCGGGCGTGGTTGCTGGCCGTCCACCCCCTCGTGTGCCGTGCCGGCCTTCATAGGTGCTCGCTAACAGCACTTGCCCCTACCGTCTGTTACGACTATACGGGGTATTTTTGTCTTCGTGCTAACTCATGGCGGGGGAGGGCTGTGGGAGTGTGGGATGGGGGAAGATGGGTGGGAGGGAGAAGGAAGGGAGAGGGAGGGAGAGTGAGACGAAGTGAGATGGGGGGGAAGGGAATGAACGGAGATGGGAGGGAGTGAGATGGGAGGCAGGGAGACGAGAAGGAGGGTGACACCGCGAGTAACGCAGTCGCCGTTATTAGGGCTCATCTCAACGTCTTAATGCGGGCGGCATCGTGACAGCTCCTCACTGAGCTCCTCCGTCTCCGGATAGCCCCCCTCTACCCTCCCCGCACGCCCCCGGGGCTCCCGTCTGTTTTATACAGTTCCTGGAAAATCTCCCAGCCACGCATCTCGGTTGGATTTTCCATTCCCCCAGTGCCCCAAATTGCTTATTTCCCGACAAAATATTATTATTTCTTTAGCCCCTGCCCCTCCCCTCCAGCTTGTTTAAGCATTTCATGGCCAGTCATGTTTCTGGTGCGCAAGTGCGGCTGATGTCTGACATGCGGATTGCTACATCACGCGGCCTGCACCGTGGCCTTAAACGCCGGTCCTCCTTCGTAATCCCGAGTGCGCGTTGTGCGTCACGCGGCGTGGTTGCGGACGCGTGAGTTGCGGGGGGCAGCAGTGTGGCGGTTTGACGCGCCTTACGCTGCAAAACCCGGCGACCCGAGCTCGAGTCCCGATCGCGGCCCACGCCCAGTGACAATTATCCGAACTGGTCCCGCGTCCACCTATATAGGTCGACTCGGTCTCAAATTGGAGATGTGTAAACATCGCCACTTGGGCGGCAAAGGCGGTCGGGCGTGGTGCTACCCACTAACCCCGACGTGGGCCGTGCCGACCTTCATAGTTGCTTGCTAACAGCACTTGCCCCAAACGTATGTGAAGGCTATGCGGGGGATTTTTGTCTTGTGTGCGAGTGTGTGTGTGGGGATGACACTGATGGGGCTGCTGTGCCTCAAGTGTTGCAGGAAGAAAGACTTGCAGAGCCCCAATGTGGTTTCAGGCAGATGCGGTCCTGCACAGGTGCCCTATTTTCTGTCAGTTTGCTACAGCAAAGGTGTAGGGAATTTCAACGGGACCTATATCTCTGCTTCATTGACCCCGTCAAGGCCTGTGATAGCACGCATATGTCTGGGCTGTGGGTTATTATTCGTGCTTTCGGGGGTCTCTGACTCTCTGCTCACAATAATTCAGGACTCTCATCATGGTGGGCAGGCCCGGATAAACTGCGTGGCCTGGAGTCAGAGCCATTCTCTGACCACTTTGGGATCAAACAGCCAGGCCCCTTTTTGAATATAAATTTGGCACATAGTCCGAGAAGCTTTCCATGACTTTTGAGAGGGATTTACATCTGGTATAGATACAGTACAACAGACCCTTCTAAAGGGATATCTGCGCTGGTTTTAAACATTCAGGCTGGCCTGCCTGTGATCCTTCCTGGGTTTAACTAGGCTCAATTATGTGAAAAGCTCACAGATCCTTGAAAGATCTGGACACATTCCCATTGCTGAATTCATTTGGCAGGCAAGGCTACGTTGGCTGGGTTATGCAGCCCGCATACGCAGCCAAAGCATGCTCAAGTAGCTTCTGTTTGGCCGGATAGATGGGGTTAAACGAGCGTGGCATGTGCTGGAGAAGAGATAGGCGAATGTGGTACAGGATGATGTCGAGCTGAGTGGACTTGCTGATGACTGGTACCAGTGGTGTCAAATATGTCACTGTGGAAGAGGCTCTTGAAAGACGCTACTGGGTAGTTGGAGGCAGACGCCCTCCAGCAACAACGGAGGGCATAGGAGCGGCGCTTACATCAATTAGCAGAGCTCCGAGCAGCTAAAAGCTAACAAGTTGATATCGTAGGGAGCACAGGTGGGTGCATCGGCCAGTCATATGTCAGTGGACCCATGGCACCTGGGTCTGCCCCGTGACCTCCTGCCAGCGGGCGTTTGACATTTCACGTGGCCTTAACGTGCACATAGCCTGGCACAAGCGTCGTGGTGACGTCACCGCCACTTAGTGGCGAATGGCGGTTGTTGTTATTGTTGTGTGTAAGATTGTGTCTGATCGTGTACGTGTGATTCTGCCTTATTGTGCGTGATTGTTTCATATTTTGTGTGTGATTGCGTCTGATTAGTGTGTGTGCGTGTGATTGTGTCTCTGTGTCTTATTCTGCGTGTGATTCTTTCTTATTGTGTGTATGATTGTGTTTGATTGTGTGTGTATGATTGTGATTGTGTCTGATTGTGTCTGATTGTGTGTGTATGATTGTGATTGTGTTTGATTGTGTCTGATTGTGTGTGTGATTGTGTGTGTGATTGTGTCTGATTGTGTGTGTATGATTGTGATTGTGTTTGATTGTGTCTGATTGTGTGTGTGATTGTGTGCGTGATTGTGTCTGATTGTGTGTACCCACCCCCCGTACGCGGGTGGCAGCGTGGCTGTGGGGGTGGCGGCCCTCAGGGTGTTGTAGAACCCTCCCCGTCCCCGCCCGCGCACGTGCGCGCCCCGGTAGGCGGCAGCCGCCGTCCCCGCCGTGACCGCGTACGGGAGCCCGGCTGCACACACGCGCGCACGCACACACACAATACAAAGATCCCCCATTTAGCCTGAACAGGCTGTAGGGGCAAGTGCTGTTTGCGAGCATCTATGAAGGCAGACGAGGCACACGAAGAGGCGGGTGGCCAGCTACACGCCCGTTCGCATTTGTCTGCACAGTGGTGATGCTTATACCACACAGATACAATCATCGTCATCATCAACAACAACATTCGCCCTTCGCCACAAAGTGGCGGTGACGTCACCACGGCGCTTGTGCCAGGCAAGGTGCACTCCGAGGCCACGTGCAGTGTCGAAAGGATGTATATATGTTGAACTTCTTTTGCACCGTACGTAGCCATCCGTGCTACAATCGGAGTGGCACTCATCATCATCATAATCAACATCATCATCATCATCATCATCCACGCGTGGAAAGTACACGAGTCGTCCCCACGTGACCGCGGCGGACCGCAAGGTGATTCCTAGCGTGGTCCGCGAGCGACCTCCGGCACTCGCCGGTGCTCCAAAGCCAACGGCCAGGTCAATCGCAGCGCAGGCATCGAGGAGTCGTAGTCTCTGGGACCTAAAATCGGTCCAGGCGTTTTGTGAACACGCCGGGGGCCCTACTTGTCGCACGATCTCAATCGCCCGTTTGGGTTGGGTCCAGAAAAAAACGAAAAGGGCCGGTGATGAAGAATCTTTGCGGTTGCCGAATATGGAGACTTAATGCCAACTGAGAGCAATGAAGCGTACACATTAGATGTGATACAATATTACAATAACAAAAAAAGATGCAAAAAATATTCTAATATATTTTATATATAATTTTATTTTTTTACTCTGATCACATTTACAATTTCCCCATACAGACCGGCCCACAGGGTATTTGCCCGGACCGCTGCCCCGTGTGCCAGCCCTGGACTGGTCTCTGCCGCTCACAGGCAGGCGACGGTGGCGCTTCTGCTACTGCACGTGGCTACCCGTAATCCAGCACTGTGGAGACAGCAGCGAGGATTGGTGTGGATCACCGGGCGAATGTTGCGAAACTCCAACTTACTTCCCGTGAGCGTCAAGGAGGAGCCGTACCCCTGGCTCGCAAGTAGAAGAGGCAGTGCAGCAAGTGGACTAATCGCCATCTGTTTTTTTTTTAATCTGTTACGGGGGATACAGTGTTGTAACCCTCGCGTGTGGCGTGGGTTTGCAATTGGTGCTCCGGGTTCCATTCCACGTGGTAAAATAAACACACTCGTCGTTAATTGTCGGAAAAGATCTAACGAATGATTTTTTTTTAGCAGCGGAACCGTCCAGAGAAAATATTCCTGCGGCTCAACGTGGCTCTCTCTCTCTACCCTATCCAACACGGAAGAGGTAGAGAGAGAGAGAGAGCGATCGAGGTGGTGTGCTGCGATAGAAGCCAGGCTCCTCCACGTAGCCTCACGATCCCCGTCTCCATGGCGCACAGAACACAAGCAACGTCAAGTGCACCCCCCACCTCCACTCACCCCCCACCATCTCGCCCCCCCCCCCCACCCACACACTACACACGCACCCCCCTTGTTGTTGTTGTTGTTGACCAACTCGAGTCGTCCATCATCTCGCGAATTGAGAAAAAGCAGGTCTACTCGAGGGTACTCCGGTCGAGTCGAGTTGGTTTCCCATGGAAACGGAGTGCGAGTCGATCGGGTCAAATGCGTTCAGCGAGTGGGTCGGCGGGGGGGGGGGGGGCACGAGGTGGGGTTGGGGGGAGGGTGGGGGGGATGAGTGTGGGGGGGGGGCAGCCACTTACACGCCCGCCTGCACACGTCTGTCTCCCGCCCCCCCCCCCCCCCCCCCACAAGTGAAGCTCCCCCGTGTAGCGTTTAACAGGCTGTAGAGGCGAGTGCTTGCTAGCCCAGCACGTGTACACAGACGCAAAGATAAAGATCCCCCGTATAGTCTTCGCAGACTGTTGGGGCAAGCGCTGTTAGCGAGCACCTATGAAGGTCTGAACGGCACACGAGAGGGGTACTGGCCAGCACCACGCCCGACCGCCTCTGTCTCCCCAGCGCTGACGTTTACACACCACGCCAGGTACTCATTTGAGATTGAGTCGACCTAGGGGAGAGACTCAGGACCGGTTCACATAATCGTCACTGGTGTTGTCCGTGAGCGGGAATCGAACTCGGGTGGCTGGGTTCGCACTCACACGAACACACACTAACACCCACTCACCGGCGCATTCTCTCGTTCACACTCACGCACACATAACGCACGCAGCACAAAGAACACACAACGTGCAGCCTCCTATGCCGTTGGGGCAAATGCAGTGAGCGAGCGAGCGAGCGAGGGCTTCTTTTAAGGCGGACAGGATGCGGTTAGCGAGCACCTCTCTACTGTGCATAACTCAACGGCGTGGGCGCACTGGTGGCAACCATTATTTGGCTTTCTCTGCCAGACGCGGCCCCCCTCTCCAAACCCGGCTCGGGATTTAGCGGCGCGCGTTTTTCGGTGGCGCATTAGGCGATGATTTGGCCAGCGTCGACTCGTATTATTGGCGCATCGACAGCACTTACATTCTGGCAGCGTTAAACGGAGGGAATAACACAACGTCCATTCATTATTCCTCTCCCCCTCATCCCACTATTACGGTTATTATTTTTTAGTTTTATTTTTTAGGCTGACCAGAAAAAAAACATAAAACAAGGAAAGTGGAGAAAGTCACAGTGGTAGCTTTTTTTAAAATGAAGATTTAGGCCCCATAACGACTCCCAATTTACACGAAACCCAACTCACACCTTCTCCAGATTTACTGCCGACCTTCAACAAGATGCGGGTTCTGGGTCCCGGCAGGGCGATGGGGAGGGGGGGGGGGGGCTGGAACCCACAGCCTCCCCCTCGCCCCGCCACCTCCAGTCAGTATGGATGGAGCCACGGGGCCATAACTCGGCCTGGAGTTGACAGCGCCCCGGGCAATCGCCGATGTGGAATGTGGAGCTCACTTCCTCCTCCACCTCGTAGCCCTCCCTCACCTATGACTAAGATAACGAACGGTGGCACAGGCGCAGCCCTGCAAATGCTCGGCCGCTGGTGGAAAAAATGGCCTCCACACCCGCTTGAGATAGCGCGAGAAGGTCCTTCTTAGAAGGTGTTTGGCCTACTCGTCCACGCGAGCTTGGTAAAGGGCAGAGAGTGGCCAGGGCCGGTTCAGATATCACTGGCCACTGATGTCTGCCGTAGCCCGGAATCGATCTCGGGCGGTGGCCGGGGCTCGTTGCACGGTGCGCTAACATCTCCGTCGCCGAGGATATGAACACTTTCTTTGCGTCTACACAAACGGGTTCGCGGACGCACTCGCCGCTGATGCGACCGTCTCCGGCCCACCTTGCAAATCTCTGCGTGGTCCACTGGCCCTTTGCGTCCCAAAGCGCGAGACAGCCGCGTGCGTGGGTCTCACATAAACCCGCGCGTCTATTCCTGGCTGCTGTCTGCCCCGGTCTCCCCGGTCTCCCTGGTCTTCCATCCTATGCCTGGTCTCCACTCGGCTCTGCTGAAGCCGGGCCTAGCAATTACATCAGCGTCGCTACGAATGCGAGATGGAAACGTCTAGGCCACTTATGTCAACCGTGACCTTAATCATTGCCCCACACAGACCACCACCACCCCGCCCCCCCGTCCAACTGCCCCCCCCTTTCCTCGGACATCCCCGAGACACCGCCACAAACTCTGGCCATCGGCGAGGAAGGAGGAGGAGGTGGCTATGAGCTCCGTCACGAGACATCACGGCAGCCCAGCTCTGGCTCAAGATTACGCTGGCTGGAGCGAGCGAACGTAGCTATAGGCAAAGGCAAATATTGCATGGCATAGCCTCCACAGGCTGTTGGGGCAAGTGCGGATAGCTTAGCGAGTGTATATATATATATTATATACGAGTGGGTGCTGGTATTAACAATGCAGCACATGTGTGTGTGTGTACGGCCCTATTATCAACCGACTGCTGCACGAGAGACTGGCCAAGCTGTTTGGGTTGTGGAGGTCCTTTGACCATACTTCACCGCATAGGTTCAGTGCAGGGTTGGTGATGGCGTAGCGTCATGAAGATTGGCGCATAGTGCAGTACAACAATGGATTGCTGGTGGTGATGGGTGGTGGTGACGGATGACGGTGGTGATTGCAGTCATGGGCGGAGGTGATGGTGGTGGTGGTGAGAGCTGGTTGTCGAGATAGCTGGTGGTGGTGAGTGGCGACGGTGTTAGGTGAGTGCAGAATGTGATGGGTGGAGGTCGTGATGGTTGTTGGTGGGTGATTGCAGTGATAGGTGGCCGTGGCGGTGGGGATGCGGCGGTGGTGTAGAAATCTTCGGCGCCGAGCTGGAGCGTACGAGAGGGACACAGATAGAGAGCGAGCGAGCTAAAGAGAGAGAGAGGGGGCGAGCGTTGATCTCCCTCGCCTCGCCTGCTGACGCCAGCGCTTTGTGTCTCGGGGATTACGTGAGCGGCGGCGCGCGCGATGCGTGGGCGACACGCGGGGAGGGACCCTGGGCTCGCCGCGTGGGGTCCGCGCAAACCGCTGACGCCGCCGCCGCCGCCGCCGCTGCTGCTGCTGCTCGCCCACGGATTTAACTCGCTTAGCGCGAGGCGCGCACGACGTGAGCGGACTGACAAGGGGCGCGCTCAGCCGGGCAGCCCCCCACCCCCCGCGCGGGGCTTCCCGCGCGCGCGCGTGTGAGTCGGTGTGTGTGTGTGTGTGAGTCGGTGTGTGTGTGTGTCGATGTGTGGGTATGTGAGGAGCGGTAGTGTAGCGGTTAGAGCGTTGCGCTACGAACGTGGCCACCCGAGGTCGATTCCCGCTCACGGCCAAAATCAGTGATGATTATCTGGACCGATCCTGGGCCTCCCCTAGGTCGACTCAACCTCAAATGAGTACCTGGTGCGGTGTGTAAACATCGCCACTGGGGAGACAAAGGCGGCCGGGCGTGGTGCTGGGCATCCACCCTCTCGTGTGCCGTTCTGGCCTTCATAGGTGCTCGCTAACATCACTT